TCTCTTAAGTTTAGTTGTACTGTCTCCAAGGGAAGTTGACGTGTCCTGTAGAACTCTTGTGTAGATTATGTTTTCCTTTCTGGCCCGAGGTGACTTTGCCCAGTGACGCCTTCTCCCTCCCTCTCTGGCCGGGTTTCGCTGGGTCTGACCTGGAAGACGTCTCCTTCTGCTGTTATCCGAAGTGACCTTGCCCAGTGAAGCCTTCTCCCTCCCTCTCTGGCTGGGTTTATTAAAGATTCTAGAGAAGAAATCTGATCAACAGGAGGGAAATAAAGAGCAGAACTTAAAATTCTCATGGATTCTAGACTTTCTGCACCCATGGTAGGTGGATGAACCCTTGACATATTGCCCTAAGGTAACCTTTAAAGTTTAAACCAAATATTCCCTAAAATCATCTCACAATGACCCTATAAACAAAAGATCTGAACTTATCCTGTACCAGCCTCACAATCCCTGACCCACTCTGGCCCATTGTTGCAGTCACTGTGTCAATTCATGTGTTTGAGGGTCTTCCTCTTCTTTGCCATCCCCCCACCTTTTCAAGTGTGATGTCTTTCTCTAAGGATTAACCTTTTCTAACAACATGTCTAAAATATGAGAAATGAAGCTTCACTATCCTTGCCTCCAAGGAGCAGTCTGGCTACACTTTCTACAAGACATATAGAGCTCTTGTGGCCTACTGGTAAGAAGCTGTGCTGCAGTCCCAAAGGCACACAGATCAAATCCATCAGCTGCTCCTCAGGAGAAAGGTGGACAGTCTCCTCCTATGCAATTAATTGCTTCTGAAAACCACTAGAGAGTCAGCTATGGATCAGTTCCAACTCAAGAGCACAAAACAAAACAAAACTTAGTAGTAGTTTAGCTTAACTAGTGTAAAAAAAAATCCAAACTCACCAACCCTAGAAACCACAAGACATCTTGCTTGAGCAAGAGCAAGATGTTCTCTTAAGAACTACATTTATGGGATCAATTGATAATATCAACTTGAAATAGAAGATAGGAATGTGTGTAGGAAGCGTTGTTGTTGTTGTTGTTGTTGTTGTTGTTGTTATAGAGACCCTGTGAACGACCCTGCCTTATCTTGCACCATCTTCCTCATCTCTGACATACTTGAGCTCATTGCTATTGTTCTTCCATCCCACTGAGAGTCCTTGTTGTCTATTTCTTTGAGAGTCTTCCTCTCCTTCATTGACCCTCTACCTTTCTAAGCATGATGTTCCTTTCCAAGGAATTGCCTCTTCCAGCAACAAGCCCAAAGTATGTGAAATAACGCTTCACCGTCCCTGCCTCTAAGGAACACGCTGGCTGTACCTTCTCAAAGATATGTTTGGTTTTATTTTCATAGTCCATGGATATTCAATACTCCAACATCACAACTCAATGATGTCAGTGTTTCTTCTTGTAATCTTTATTCATCGCCCAGCTCTCATGTGCATAGCAAAACTGTGACCTGAATCAGTTGCATTTTAGTCTTCAAACGGACATCATAGAAAGCCCTGAGTTTATATTAATGTTGGATGGTTATTCAGGAACAAAGTGAGAATGGTAGTTTATCTTGAAGAATGTAATCAATGCTACTCATATAAGTTATCTCTTAAATTTGTGAGTAAATTCAGAGAAGAAGTGATTGACATCCTAGGAAAAAGTAATAGTGTACTTAAAGCAAAGACGTATGTGTTAGGGAAAGAGTACTTGGTTTCTCCTGGTGGGAGAATACTTTGTAGGGTTGTGGGTGAGAACAGTAATGCTGGAGAAACAGTGAGTTCGGAGTCAGACTGCGAAGAGCATTGATTGTTTGGCACAGGAATTTACACTCTATTCTATGAGCAATGAGTAGCTATGGAAATCTTGGCCTCCAAAGAGCTTAGATTCTCTATTGTAAATCTTCTACCCAAAACGATATCTGTCTAGCATAGGTAAATGAATTTTTCTTTTCCTGAAATATACAACTTATGGTTCCATTTTAGATGTCTGTGCCACTTGCCATGAACAAGCCACCTGCCAAGAAATAGGAGGGAAGAAGGTCTGTATGTGCAACTATGGATTTGTGGGCAATGGGAGGACCAAGTGTGTTGGTAAGTTCTGAATTCTAAGATGAATAGTTGCAGCACAAAACAAAATTCTCTGGCTTTAATAGTTAATGTCCTTAGAGGGAAACAATGCTCTTTTGCACAAAGCCTTCATGATAAGATGATTTGTGAACTTTAATAGGTTGTGGGTTTTTTTAAATTTTGTTTTGTTTTGCTTTTTTTAGTGCTTGGATATACTTTCGCTCTAATGTTTCCAAGGTGGTGTTTCTTCTATTAGAGGTCATTGAATTTGAATATATGAAAGCTCTATGAACTAACACAAATTTGAAATCCATTTCAAGACTTGAATTTAACAATAACAACTTGAACAAATACGTCACATTTCTTAAATCTTTCAGAAAGATTCAAATTCACTGAGAAATCCAGAAGCAACCTAGCTGAGTAGATAGACAAAAAACAAACAAACAAAAAAACCCCAAACCACACTTTTTGGTGAAACTGGGCTGAGCTTAGTTGACATCAGTGCCCAACAAAGAAAAGGAAGAGTGGGGTATTTATCCAGTAGTCACAGCAGTTTGAAGGGCCTGGGGCCATTTTCCACTTTTTTCAGGACTGCTTGTTTTTTCTTCTGAGTGTGTAGGGGTAAACATTAGTGAGAATTTATGATTTCCTGGAATACAATTTTCTGATTCTGGTAGTATCAGAAGGTCAGCAAAATGGAATCACTTTGATTTCAACCTTATACTTTCTGATTTTCTTTCTTTTTTTTTCTTTTTTTTTTTTTTGCTATAATGCTATTCTTATCATAAAGCAAAATAAAACACAATTTTTTTTCTTGTCTCCTTGGATAATTGGTGGCTTATTGTGGCCTTGGGCTCACAATCCATCCTCCAAATTATTTTCTAGTTCTGACCCTTTGGGATCTTGGGTGATTTTAAAAAAATACAAAGAACACCCCATCACCCTCCCCCCATAAACTCACCAAAAAAGAATAAAGAGACCATTAGGCTAGAAGCATCTGAGAAGATGATTTTTGCCCCATGGCATCTCTCATGTCCCAAGAATCAGACGATATCCAGATTCAAGCCCAATTCAGAGAAAGAGTTTCACAACTATTTTATGTAAGTAAATGCTATAAGAATCTCCTGGTTTCTTCCTAGCAACTTTGTTAAACAAAATAAAAATATTGCTGGTTTTGCACTATAGTTGTGGATTAACAGTGTAGTTTTGCTGTGATTTTTCTTTTCCCCCTTCTTTCTTTTTAAAGACAAATAAAAATTCAGTACTAAGTTAAAAATGTCATACCAGCAATTTCCCCTGGCCAGATCAGCACATTCCATTGGACAGATACAAGCTTTCATAATCACACACGCTGACCCTCCCTGCAGGGTGGAGTGTGTCCTGTTTGATCTCTCCCTCTAGACTTTTAGAGATGTGTGTTTGTCATTCTTGGAAATAAAGTGGGGTATACAGAAAAGCCTCTATTGCCCCTTCCTCAAATGAATGTCTCCTCCTAGTAATGTTATCTGCTCTCGTGATTGCTCTTTGACATTTGAATAGAAACTTCTCTTTGGAGAGGGGTTTTCGAATTTGTGTGGTACTTGCTTCCACATAGGAGATACTGTGTGTCTCTTGAAGGGTCCTGGTGAGACACTGCAGAGTACAAGTGAGGTTATATGTGCACCAGTTGTTATGTGCGGTCAATCAGAACTAAGTCATAATTGACCCTTTAGCAAGCTTGCAGAGGCTGTAAATCACACTGGAGGGGATGCCCATTTTTCTCCTCTGAGGCAGCTGCTGGATTAGAATCTTGTGCCTTTGGTTGGCAGCACAACTCTACCCATGAGGCCTCCAGAGATCCCTGTGTGCCAGAGGGACTGTAATATCATGATATTAGACCAGGAAGTATATAGGTGCTAGAATCCTGTACCACATCCAAGTGTTCCTTCTGGTGAAGAGTACAGGGGTATCTTAGGCTGAGTTCTCTAGAGAAGCAAAACATGTGTGTGTGCATTAAATACATATATATACACACATACATATATATATTTGTATTTCTATTTATACACAGACATATACATACATATGTATGTGTGTCATGATGTATACATACATACATACATACATACATGTGTACAAACACTGGTGAGTTGGAGTTGATCCATAGTTCACCCTTTAGCAGGTTTTCAGAGGCAGTAAATTGCACAAGAGGACACTGTACTTTCAGGTTGACAGTGAACCTTCTTACTACTAGGCTAGTATATGTATATGTATATGTATATGTATATGTATATGTATATGTATATGTATATGTATGTGTATGTGTATATGTATGTGTATATGATATATGCATACGCATATGTATGAGTGCATATATATATATGGTATGTATATATGTGTGTATATGTCTCTGTTTGTGGGTATGTATTTATATGTATACATGTTAGTTGACGTTATGCGCCATTGAGTTGACCAGACTTATAGTGACCTTATGAACAATGACTCTGAACCTTGTCCTATCCTGAGCTAACCTCATCATCTCTGATGCCTCGACCCTTTTCCCACAGTAGCTGTGTTAATCCATCTTATCCAAGGTCTTCCTCTTCTTTGATGACCCTCTACTCTTCCAAGCATCATGTCCTTCTCCAATGACTGATATTTCCTGGCAACATGCCAAAAGTATGTGAGATGGAGTTTCAAAATCTTTGCCTCATCCTTTCCACAACAGACCAGTTTGTTTTCTTGGCTGTCCATGGTATGTTCAATACTCTTTTCCAGAACCACAGCTCAAAGGCATTAATTCTTCTGCTGTCATCCTCATATGTATGTGTGTATGCATCAAGGCTATGTCCTCTCTCCATTCCTATTCAGCATATCTTTTCTCCATACCTATTTGGCATGGTATATTGAATGAAGCAGCTGGGATTTATGAAGAGTGTGGCATTAGAATTGGAGGAAGACTCATGAACAACCTGCATTATACAGATGATACAACCTTGTTTGCATAAAGTGAGTAGGACTCTTGCTATAGATGATGAAGGTGTGCAATATGGATTCAATATGGATTACATCTTAATAATACTCACCTCTGAGCCAATAGGCAACATCATGATAGATGGAGAAAAGATTGAAACTGTCAATTATCAAATTTTATTTGGATCCACAGTCAACATTCTTGGTACCAGCAATAAGGAGATAAAGAGACTGGTAGCGTTCGGCAATGATGTCAGTTTAAAAACTAAGGTGCATAATGCTATCCAGTCTCTCCTAAGTTATGTATTCCTTTTCAGAATTGTTGCTTCTGAGTTCTGCATAGTATTCTGTTGTGTGAATGTACCACAATTTCTCAATGCATTCAATTGTGGTTGGACATTTGGGCTATTTCCACGTTCTTGTGATGGTGAATAAAGCTGCTATAAATATTAGTGTGCAAATATGTTTGTGTCTCAGTTATTAACTCAGTCTCATATGGACAAATGCTGAATGAAACCATTATTGTAAAAATAGAAGGATAACTGGTAAAACATGTATGCAGACCCAAGGGGGGAAGGGATGGGAACAGAGGGGTGAGAATGGGGAGGGATGAAATGACAGGGTTGCACAATTTAGTGAGTAAAGGGTGGGGGTAAAAAAAATGAGAAAGATCTGGCAGGGACCTGAAAAGACAGGATAATGGTGAGCATGGTGATTAATTTTATAAAACATAATGAATGAGAATGATTGTATGAAACACAATGCGAATGAAGAGTAGTGTGAATCACAATGTATATGAACTTGTAAGCAAGCCAATATAAAATGAAATTTTTTTTAAAATACTAAAAAACCCTAAGGTGCAGCTGATTTAAATAATAATCTTTCCAGTCAACTACTGTGTATCTGAGAACTAGACAATAAATAAAGATGATAGAAGAATCAATACAATTGAATTGTAGTGTTGAAGATCCCACAGACTCCAAAAAAAAGCAAACAGATATGTGTTGGATAAAGTGTAACCAGAGTGCTTCTTGAAGGCAAGGATGACAGAGTTTTGTTAATTTTGTTGCTAGGACAGGCTATTCCTAGAAAAGGGACATTATGCTTGGAAACATCAAGGGTCAGAAAGGGACATTATGCTTGGAAACATCGAGGGTCAGAAAGGGACATTATGCTTGGAAACATCGAGGGTCAGAGAAGGAAAGGAAAACCCTCAATGAGATGAATTGACACAGTAACTGGAGCAATGGGAACAAGTATTGGGTTGGTAAGGATGGTGCAGGATAGGACAGGGTTCAGATCTGTTGTTTGTTGGGTCACTATGACACTATGAGTCATACTTGATTCAATGGCACAAACAGCAGCATATGTGCATACATCTATATGGAAGTTCTGGAGGCCTAATAGCGAGAAGCTGTGCTCGGGTGTAAACACATCGTCCGAATCCACCAGCTACTGTGTGGGATAAGAATGGACAATCCCCTCCCAAGTGATTTGTTGTAAGTCACAATCTGTATTCTGAGCAAATCATTCAAGAAGTTGGACTCTATAAAAAGGAAAGTAGCATCAGGATCAGAGGAAGATTCATCAACAACCTGCATTATGCTGATCATACAACTTTGTTTTCTGAAAGAAAGGAGAACTTGAAACACTTGCTGCAGAAGATAATGGACTATAGCCTTCAGTATGGATTGCACCTCGACATCAAGAAAACAAGTGTCTTCATCACTGGACCATTAGGCAACATCATGATAGAAGGAGAAAGGATTGAAGTTGTCAATGATTCATCTTGCTTGAATGAACAATCCACACCCTTAGAACCAGCAATTAGGAGATCAGGAAATGTATCAGATCAAGTCTCCTGTCAGGGACCTCTCTAAAATACTAAGGAGCATTGATGTAATTTTAAAGACTAAAGGTGCACCTGATTCAGGCCATAGTCTTTTCAATATACATCTGAGAGCTGGACAGTGAATAAGGATGATAGGAGAAGAATAGATATCTTTGAGTTTTGATGTTGGAGAAGAATACTGAATGTCTTATGGATTACCATAAGATATGTGTTGGAGAAG